TATAACTTCGCATCTGGCCGACGTAGGGTCGCTTCCACGGAGATATCAATTACTCTTCCTCTCATACGAGTCGCTTATTTTGAATGCGGCGCGAGATAGTGTGGCGTGTGTTATAGGGAAATAATATGTCTAATTGTAGAATGCGTGCGGGCGCTAAGAAGAGTTATTGGCAAGCCCACTGCGATTTTTTAAGAGATGTCAATACTTCATTTGGTCTCTTGTATGTCGCTTTTAAAACGCTTTTAATACGCGTCTCTCTCTCTCTCTCTCTCTCTCTCTCACGTTATTAATTATCGCGGTCTAACGTAAAAGAAAAAGAAACATGTTCGTAGCACGTTATCGTAAGCCCTCGCTCCTGCACATATTTTTACTTCGTACAGGATACATGTTATTCTTCAGCTTTTATTTTCAAAAGTAAATTTTAACGAAGTGGTCAGTTTAAAGTGGATTTACGGACGAATGACAAGGTGCGCGAATCGCGAATATGCTGTCGATGTGCAATCGCGCTACCGTAGAGAGGTGGCGAAACTTTACGCAGTACCAACTAATTGCATGCACATGAGCCGATCGTAAACAACGACGGTCGATGATAATCATGCGCGCCGGATGCACGAGACCGGGATGATGGGTCGATAATTAGGCGCCGTTCGCTGAGCATTCGAGCGCGATTTATTTTTTATGATTTAATTTGCGCCCTCTCTTTCCCCCCCTCCTCCCCGTTACCGTGAGACCGTAATCGCTTCATCATGCGAAACCTATGAAAACGCGTCTTGCCGAGACGTCGCTGCGTGCTCGTAAATTAACGACTAACGTTGCACATCCGAGGTTAATTATCATTCGATGAGTGCACGAAGATGGTGGACTGGCGTTTTAATAGCACTAATACAAATGTCCGCGTATATTATTATTAACGTATCTCTCTCTCTAATGATGCAAATAGCAGAGTGGTGCGTAGCAAAGTAATGCTATTTTAATCCCCATCTCTTCTCTTTTTGACGAGAGGAAAATAGCGGTTCGGATCAATTCGAAACGAGAGCGGGCGATGCTAAATGATTTTCTAATAGAAATCTTGAGTTTTTCCTTGAAAATCAGATCTCTAAATATTTTTGCAACAATGCCTACTTTAATATTGCATTTTTCTGAAGTAAATTAGAGTTTATTACAACACGCCACAATTTATTTATATTAAAATTATTCACGCGAAGGGATAGGAAGTCTAACCCTATCAGAACGCATGTCTTCTCTTTGGTTTCAGGGGACTTAAGATTACCGGGACCCGGACCAGGCCCGGTCAGATGCACTCTCAGGAAGCACAAACCGAACCGGAAGCCGAGAACGCCGTTCACGACGCAGCAGCTGTTATCGCTCGAGAAAAAGTTTCGCGAAAAACAGTACCTAACGATAGCCGAAAGAGCGGAGTTCTCGTCGTCTCTTCACCTCACGGAAACGCAGGTGAGACGCCGGAGACGGTTGAGCAATTAGCTCTCTTAGAATTGAAAAAGTAACTCATTTTATGTAACGATCCCCAGTGGCACATGTTCAGGTACACTGAGAAATAGATTAATAATCATATGAATTTTATTTAAGGCTAATTATAAGAGCGCCGCGTAGTAAATTCGAATAAATCGACCGTATGTAACGTGAAATGGGAAAAATGTATTTTATACTTGTTATCCAATATAATACAAATAAATTTAGCAAAAATAAGAAATATACACAGATGTAAAATCAAATGTGGGGCATTCTTCGATTAACGAGCACATTGATAAAAATTGTTAGAATCGTCTACATATTTATATCCATTTTATTAAACGATGATAAACCAATGACATTAGCATGCTTTTAAGACGAAAAGTACTACTTTTGTGCCGCAAATTAATATTTATAGGTACATCTTTACGCTCGAGGTAACGGTTAATTGCAAAAATATCTTTCATGAATATTATATTGCTATAACATCTGCTCTTCTCAAAGTGCTCTTCTCACTTTGGACTATCGTGATTCTTTGCGCCACGTGTGTAACAGAGTAGGCTATTATCGCGTCGGTTAGCGTGCTAAGATACACTTTGCGCATTCGTTACAATGCATCAGTCGAAATGAAGCTACGTCGCATTCATTTGCTTAGATAAGCTACGATTACCCTGCCATCTTCTCGTGTCCTTTAAGTCGCCAAACCGTTCCTTCGGTCGCGCTCTCTTCTCTCTCATTATTCACCTTGGACAAAGAGGTATGTCTACAATTCAAATCGTGACACGCGCGCCGTGGCGATATCCATTCCCGTGATCACACCAAGTAACTTATTATTTTGTTCTCTCATGAAGGCGAGAGGGAAACATAGATTGATTGGAACTCTTCCGTATTTATTGAACACTTATCCCGGAATCAATTTTAATTCGTACATTATATATGCATGAATTCATTTACAATTTTGATGTTACATTCTGTCTTCATTCTTAGGCTTAACTTAGCCGAAATATTTAACTTTCAATTTATATCGAATTTATAACGAAGCTTGGTTACGTAAAGTTAATTTAGTTGGACACGTGAGTCGTCCCGAGTAATTCGAAAGCATCTGTTAAAATCGGGATGTTTTTAAAGCATTTTAGCGATATTTCTGAATATTAATTCTTGATATTCTGTTTTCTATAGAACGTCTGAGTGCACTATGATTATCCCATTCATGCATATTGCTGAAAATAAGCGTTCGTTAAAAGCTTCATCGATGCAGAATAATTTCGGAATCCCCATACTCCCGTCCTCGTGCCGAAAATGCTGCAAATTAGCCGTCGATTCAAAGCGACAGCTGCGCAAACGACGCGATTCGAACTGTGTAAATAACAATTAAACACGATTTAGTGTTGACCCTACACATTTGTGCGATAAACTCGAGTGTTAGGCATGTCTTATGACGTCGAGGATTTCTCGATACGTCGATAATTTCCTGCTCGAAACTGGCGTTCCATCGGCTGTTTTGTCTAACGACGCGCTAAACGACTCGCGTGCCATTTTACGCAGAAAATCTTTATTTCCCGATTACATTCTCGGTCGCCCAGCGATGCGTTGATTAATAAATTTATTGCGTAATTTTATTAATTGTAGATTCTCAAGCGTTTACAGTAGCTCGCGCGGTTTGAATGTGCTATTTGCCGATTGTAAATCTTCAACCGCTGGTGTTAAACGCGACGTCGACCAATAATGGCACTTATGTAATGTTTGCGGGCGTGTCGCGTGGTATAATGCAACACGACGGTAGAATCCACCGTTTTCTCACGTTATTTAATGCCTTACAAGCCAATACTTTTAACGACTTGAATAATGTGAAAAAAAGACTTGGTCTCGCCGAGTAAATTTTTACATGGCTATTTTGGATCTATTTTCAGCTTTTATTGTAGTAAAAAAAATCGAATAATGTTGCGATTGTTATCGTAATGCATAACAAGAATCTTAACTTGTTTTATTTGACTTGTATTTTCTTTTAAAATATCGACTCTCCGAAGAGACTTCATATTATTGCTAATGTTATAAAAGTTTAAAACTTGTATTATTACATGTGTTAAACTAATCATCATCATCCGAAAGATACTTGAGGAATTAAGCGATATACAGACAAGTTTTGTATAGTATTAGTTCGTTCGCTATTGCTCTAATCGAGAACACTATTATGTTCCAGGTGAAGATCTGGTTTCAAAACCGAAGAGCTAAGGCGAAGCGACTTCAGGAGGCGGAAATAGAGAAGTTAAGACTATCCGCGAGGCCCTTGCTGCACCCTAGCTTTGGATCGGGGTTAATGTTCTCCGGGGTGGGCCCGCCTGGTGCTCCAGGAGTACCTCCCTTCATTGCAGCTGCCATGGCTAGGCACACCCATGCCGCGGCAGCAGCGGCCATGTTCATGGGGCCGCCTGGACACCGACCTTAATAATGACATGCCAAGATATAATACGCGTGTAATTCAAAGTCATTTTTGATGTCTGAAGACCCAACCTGCTCACAAATTGAGGATCCTATGACGCAGAGTCTAGGAGTTGCCAAGGATTCATAGAAACATAAATCTGCACGTTTATTTCAAGAATCTAAGGGAGAATCCAAACTCTGGGAGTTTAACAATCTGGAGAACCACAATGGAGAACCATCTAAGAATTAGGAACTGGAGAAAAGTGAGGATTTGCGAAGTGATCGAAACATCCAAGAACTCAAACATTTGAAAGCTAAAAAGATCGAAAATTTGCGAATTGGAGATTCAAGAGAGCAGAGACTAGAAATTTTAGAATTCAAGATTCCAAGAACTCCGGAAACTGAAAGACCAAAAGTAGTCTAATAAAGTAATCAGTAATAGATCCGCAAAATGGAATTTAAGTGATCTTTCTTTCACGCGAAGAAGAAAAACTGTCTGAAAGTTCTGCGGCTGCTCTTATTTATTAGTCCACCTTCCGCCCGTCTTTAATTATCCATTCTTCTACCGGTACCGAGGATATTGGGATCCACTTAACATTGGAAGTCGAAATTGGCTATAGGAGTGGCTCTGTGGCGATACTCGCGCGTTAATCCGGACGGCTTATCTCCAGAGGGGTACATATAATCTGAAGTCCGAAGCTATCGTTCGAGAGACCCGTAGCTTGAAGAGACATCGTCACGTAATTTTTTCGGGACGATGGAATATAATATATATCGGCGCCTCGAGAGGCGCGCGAAACTTTGATCTCAAGAAAAAGCACGAGTGTACATAGTGTAAATAGATACGCGTTCGTACGATAACTATGGGTGTACGTATGTATATACACACGTGTACAGGACGCTATACCCTCAAGGAGAGGAAATCGCGAGGAACGAGCGTTCAAAAGTTAGCTTAACGATTTGGACCGCGCTGGACCTAGCAAACGTTCGTTCATGGGTGTGTTTTTAATGTGGACCGGTCGAGAGAGTGCAGCGACATGAATGTGCGAGGTACGTTTAAACAGTTCCGAGTCTGAGAGCATTAAAAGAGAAATAGTTAACGTCGAAGCCAAATGTAATAGTTGTTTCTCTAAAACTAATTCTCACAATCATATTAAATCTATTCGTTTATATCAGAAATCTTTTTTTTTCAACCTCAAAATTTTAGTTACATTTTGCATCAGAGACATCAGTGACGTTTCTAATAGCTGCCACAAGTAAAGAACAAACTCATTGATCTTCATTGGGAATTACACAGTTCGTACCTCACATAATCTCGATGTCTTTCAGACTTGTTGAATTTTTTTTCTATGCAAGAAGGCGAGGGGCAAGTGCGTGTAAATTATGTATCAGCTTGTGTTGATTGTGAATCGAGGGAGACGGAATCGCTCATAGACAGTAAAAAGCTAACGTTACGAATGTGGCGTGGTTCTAGACGTACCTATGCGCCTTGTATAAATGTAAGATGATAATTTATCCATGGAAGTATATTATAGCAAAATAAAAGATTTCAGTATTTACGTTTCTTCCGTCGATCTTTCGACCCTCGGTGAAACATTAACAAATTCTATTGCACATAAATAAACTGTAAAACAAAAATTTGGTTTATTTTTTAAGTTTTTAAAGGTAACAAAAAAAATGCATTAAAAACAGTTTCCCTGAAAGAATCAACAAAGGAATCGACATTACCAATCCAAAAAGGTTTTCGCGATTAACTAATTTGCAAATAATACAATGACGCAATTGATCGAGCGTAACTTCTCAAATAAGGCATCATACTGAGGCAGGACGAAAAAGGATTAAAAAAATGCGCGCGGAGGATTTGGCCCGTCGCGATCGTATGTATCGCACAGTCATCGACAGGTCGGCTTCATATATGGCAAGTAGTCGATAAAGCGGCCGAAAGTGTCCGCCAGATAATTAGAAATATGTTAATCCGCCGTGGCTGCTAATTGGTTTTTGACTAAATTTTTAATTAAGTCTTAAGCCTGGGCGGCGCGCTGATTTATCGAGGAGAAGGCCCGTGGCTAATTATAAAATATATGTAGAGGACACGGCACTCTAACGCACACATACCTGCGACGGGGCAGCTCGTTTGCCGTTATCATATTTGTGCGTTGTGTCTTCGCCGTCTGTGCACCTGTCTCGCTTTACGGTGTGTGGCCATAGGCGCCTGCAGTGCCCGGCATTCTTTTTTCGGCGAGGCGCAACTTTCCAAGAGAGACGCGCTCTGTACCGTCTCCGATAATTGCTACGTCATCTCCGTACTTTATGCAATCGCGCACGATTCCGACGTTCGGAGGCGTCAATGGTTCGCGATGCAAGATTTATCAATATTCCGGGATAACCGATTTGCACTCGATTTCCCCTTACATAAGTTTAGCTGGTGAAGATTATCTGGTAATGTTACATAGCACTGAAAACGAAAACGTTTACGAGAGAATACGAACGGATATAATTGCGATAGCTCCCGCAACGCTAATAATAACAACAATTCCTTAACAGCACAAAATGAAGATAGAAAGACGAATTTTCCCGACTACAGTTAAAAGAAATGTTTAGGTTTGTCGGCCTTTAAATCTTTGACTCGCACATTAAATTTATCAATTAGTTGAGAATGATCGAATTCTTCCGTCAAATCAGGGCTCGAACGACGAGCACGACTCAGAAACCAATCGTCGTGGGGGACAGGTGGCAAGGCGCAAAGAGATCTTTCAAGAGGAACGACTCGCCGTTAAAGGCTTTACAAACAGGCGCCAGATATTCGCCACCCGTGTAGATCGGAAGCCGTTCGGAGATCCCTCGTTCTCTCTACCTTCTCCCTGCTTGCGCGTTCTCTAAAGCCCCGCCAGCCGCCTCCGCTTCTCTCTCGGCACGGCCGGGCCTCAGTCGGCGCTCCCATATAGATAAAATTTATGTACCGAGCCGGCCGATCCTACGCATACGGCCACATTGAGCGCTGACAATTAATTAAAGAATAATTTCTTGTCTTCGCGATACGCGGAGGAGCGTCGCCAGTTGGCGTCCAATTATGCTCTCGGACCGGAGCGGAATACCAAGTAGGTCCGTCGACGACACCGGACGCCGCGCCGCGCCGTGCACTTCGCCGGGCAGTCCGCTCGTAAGGCTCGACGTCGCGAGCGGCCGCGCCGCTAACAATGTGATTCATAAAACGTAAGTCGCGCAAGGGAGGAATAACGTCTGCGTCTTCATTACGCGGAACAACAGATTTCAACTTCTTCTCCTCTCTTTTTTGATCTCGGAACATCGGCTTCGAGTCAAACGTTAGAAATCCTTCAGCATGAAAATTGAATGTTCACATTTCCAGATTTTCCTGACACTCGATTTTTAATTCTTTGGAGAAAGAATTGTATATTTTATTCATACCGCGTTAGGATCCTGTCGAGTTTTATTTTATTTTTTGCTGCCCGTCTCGAAAACTAGCAATAGAGTGCAGGAATATATGAACACAAATAAGATATAGAAGATAGACATTGAACAATCTTTTTATTTTCAATATTTACTTTCTGATTGCATATACATATACGTCATCTTGTTCCTAGTCTGGGACAGAAACCAACGTTCTCCATGTATTTTTTTTTTCAATAACTTTGCCGGCGTTACGGAATTAAATGCGCCTGTCAGATAAATTTAAGAAACAAAACGAGAACATATACGTGTTGAATGAGATGAGCCGAAAGGGACAGGAGCGGAGGGGAGAAATATTCACAGTTAACGCGTGCATCGAAAGCAGGTCTCCATTCATTCAGTTTATCCAAATTAATTGGTCGTAAATTAAGCGGCCCGGTCTGACAAGTAGGCGAGTGGTTACGATGAAGAAAATGGGATGGATGCCGACTGAAGTTCCGAGAGGAACGGCTGAGTACTCGGCTAGTGGAAGAGAGATACACGAAAGGAAGAACGAAAGACGCGAATGATGAAAAACACGAGAAAGAGAGAGAAGAATAAGATGGACGAAAGATTAAAAAAGAGCAAACTAGAAGGGGGGTCCGACCGGGGGACAGTAGCGCATCGACACGCCATTATGTGGCGGCTGGGACTAATTTATACAAGGGTAAGACGAAAACACACCACGGAAAGTCAATCGCGGGACCGAAAGAGAAAGAGACTTCGGTGGCATTATTTAAGCGAAGGAGTCTCCATCCTAATTGGAAGCCTGCCACTGTTTCAACCGGGTGTACCGGTTGCTCGAATTCGTGTCTTCCGCCGAGGATTACGGGGAATCAGAAACGGGAATTATTTCGAGAAATAAAGTAACTAATTATCCCCGTCGCAATTTTGATTCGTAGATTTCTGTCTTCTGCCGAGGATTACGGAGAATTAGAGAAACGGGAATATAATTATTTATTTTATTTTTCAAAATTCATAATTATATCTATTGCAATGTTTTAATCGTAGATTCGAAGATATTAAAATATAGGGAAATATATAGACGTACGGTAATTGTTTAAATCTTTTTCTGAGAGTATTCTAATTAGATGAAGATTCTCATATACAGTTTCTAATTTTAAATTTCTATGCCAATTTTACACAAAGATTATTTTGATTCGTATCGTACTAAAGAGTAATGCGTACACAAGTGTGCACCTTGTACACTTTTAAGGATATTGGATTTCTCTCTCTCTCTCTCTCTCTCTCTCTCTCTCTCTCTCTCTCTCGGAAACGTGTCCCGATACAATCGTAGAATAATCGCGTCGTCGCTCGAAACACTATGAATCGGGCGCATCGGTAAGCGAGAACGCGGATCATGTGGCGTTGCCGGTAATTGCCGGCGAGATGAATCGAGACAAAATCCCGTTTCCGACTTCGTAGGAAATTTACGAAGCTGATCGAGGCGGCATCGAAGCATTTACGGCGAGAAAGTTATCCGCTACGGCCGCAAGAAAGTCGCGGCTGATGCAAACGCGGCTCATGGCAAACTCTTCAAAAGTACCGAGGAACCGAGACTCCTAATTAGGAACAAGCTTGATGGTCGTTCTTACACGTATTAAGCGATAGAGCGAATGCGAAAGCGGCGAGTAAAATTCATAAGCTATTTCATTCGCGTCCCATCCCAAAGATTTTTTCTGTGACAAAGTACCTTGTTCGTGAAATTATCCTAACATTTAGTTGCAAATTTCAACGTAATAAGTTTCAAAATTTCAAAAATTTTATTGTACAGGCGCAAAAGAGTATTTCCCACGTGCAAGACTCTTATAAGCAATTTGATTTCGAGGAAAATGGAAATAAAATGATCGGATTAAGGGAACAAGAATAACGCATAATACATAATGATAATTTTATAATGTTTAATTCATATAACTTGCAAATTCATCTCTACGTCTGTTATCACCTAGCAATTTTTTATCACTAACAATAAGATCTCGAGTCCTGGTATCGCGCGATGGGACAAAGGGAAAACACAATAACCGTGTATTTAATCGCCGGCACTTTTCTGGGCGAGAAAACCCGCGAGGCGTTTTACACGCGAGGCGCGATTGTCGGGTGGCATGCTAGTTTAAGTAGGTGTTTCACCGGCTCCTGGTATTCCTGGAGCAATTAGCGCGGCGACGCAAGGTGCGGGCGCGGGGGCGGGCGGACGGACGGAAATCACTTTAATATCTTTCTACCTCGACGGCCGGCGCGGCGCGACCGGTTTGTAAATACGATGAAATGACACTGCTTTATGAATTGTCGGCGTAAACGTTCGTTTTTTCTCTCTCGATTTCGCCGGAGAGACGATGGGCGAGAAGCCGCGCCGATTATCCCGGCGCAAACGCAGGCGCGATGAAAAACGAAAAGATCGTAATTATTTCCAGCGACTCGTTTCCACCTCGCCATCGAGAAGGCTGCTACTATTAATTGTCGTACGGGACTCGTTCCCTATGAATATAGATGAAGGGAGAAAGAGAGAGAATCTCCTCTTCTCTCGATCACCGATCGGCAGGAGGAATCGAATTATGCCGAACGATATCATCCTCGAATTTACTCGCTGAAGCATAACTTATCATTAAATATCAATTTAATGTGTTTGTATAATATATTTATCTGATAGATCTACTAATACGTTTATAAATATTCATATTATTAAGAATATATTTTGCTGATGATTGCAAATTGTTCAGTTTTTTCATTCAAAAGTTAATTAAATTCTTGAATAAAAACTTTGAATTCAATTTGTCATGTCACACATGTATATGTGCATGTCATATAAATATACATTTCTTCGGTGATCAAAGTTTTATTTTAATAAGTTTGGAGAACGCGTTTTTATCTCATTTCATTTGTGCTTTTTCAATATTATCTATCATTATTCGATGAACGTAAAATCTTTCGTGCAACTTTGTGCGCAAAAAAGGCCAATTGTTTTTTTCGAAAAAACGACGCGGCAATCTCGAGCGGAAATTTCGGAAATGTACGAGTGGCAGATCACGTCCCCGGCGCGGCTGACAAAAACGACGGCAGAATCCTGGGGCAATTAGTCGATATTTTAATGCGCAAAAAGCCGACCCCTCGTTAG